AGAAATAACAAATTAGATTTTCTTTTCTTTTCGAGAAAGAAAGAAAGAGAATTGAATACCTGATTAGAAAATAAAAAAGAAAGAATTCGTTAGTCGACAATAGTTTGACTACTAAATTGCGAACAAGTAATGAGAACAAACGTGCTTGTGCTTGTCCCCAGTTTATATCTCAGTAGTTGTTCTTCGCCCTCGTCAATAATGAAAGAGAAACGAACAAGAAGAAGAAGAAGAAGAAGAAGAGAAGAAGAGAAGGAAAAAAACTGGACTAGGTAAATAATGTCGATATGGAAAGAAAGAGAACGACCGATGAGAGAAACAATTTGTGGCTTTTTCTTCTTCTTTTTTTTTTCATCTCGTCTCTTTTTCTTCATTCGAATGTAAATGTTAGCAACCATTATTTCTTTTTCTCTTTCTCTCTCTCTCGTTCTACTTTTACTATAGTTGTGTGGTTGTGTGGTTGAAACAACATCAGTTGTTTTACCCTTTATAAACATATATTTAACATCCAATCAGATTTTATCATCGCACATTCTTCTCGTCTCATCTTGTACATATCTTTTTTCTTTCTTTCTTTCTTTCTTCCTTTAACAATAAGAATCTTTTACAATATTAACTATTTACTCATCTGTTTTTTACAATTTTTAAAAAATAATTTCCTGATTTTCTCTAAATTCTTCTTAAATTAATCTTAATAAAAAAAGAAAAAGAAAATTCTATTAATATCGTTAAAATGAACTTCTATTTTTTGAATATATGCTTAAATAAAAGTAAATTTCGAAAAAGTACAATTATTATTTAAACGAATTTTGTTTTGAAAATATTTGTTTTTCTAATTCATATCAAAATCAATTTAAAGAAAAAGAAAACATTTGAATAAATTTTCGTTTTTTTTATTTATTTTCTTTTTTAAAAGATTCGATTGATTTGAAAATTGAATAAAATAAGTAATTCTTGTTTGATTTTATTCTCTCAAGGCTATGAAAAGATTTTATTTAATTTATTACGAATAAATAAAAGACGAAGTAAAGAGAAATAATATTTAATAAAGAAAATGTAAATGTCGATTTGTATTGAATAAAATGTTAAATTTATTCAGGTGAAATAATAAATGTTGATCTTATAGAATAAAATTCCTAATCTTACCCTTACACGATATTATAAGATGCAACAGGTGGATGTGATTTTGTCAAGAGTAACAACTTGTGTTCGTTGGTTGAACTCTTTTAGTGAATAAGGATTTTTTTTCTGTCGATCAATCGATCTTACTTAACTGTCGTGTTTCTCCCTCTGTCCCTCTCTCTCTCTCTTAGTCTCTCAGTCTCCCTCTTCTTTTTTGCTTTTTCTCTATGTCTTTCTCTTTCTGTACGTTACTCTCTTATTCATTGCCTATTATTTGCACATCACTCACACACACACACACACACTGCGAGAGTATAGAATATGCCCTATACGTTTGCCCGTCACCCCATTTTTTATTATTCATAGATTTGAATCTTATTCATGCTTTTATTATTTACAATTAAATTATTGAAAAAAGATAAACTGAACAAAATCATTTCGTTTTTTATTATGTTGAAAATAAATCTATTAAATAGATTTCGAAATCATGAGATTTTTATTTCAAATCTAATAAAACAATTAAGAAAATAATTGAGAAAAAAAACCAAATCTCACACGAAATAAATTCGAAAGGAAAGAAGAGAAAAAGAAAAAGAAAAAGAAAAAGATTATATTATGTTAAAACCATAGTAATGTTTAATGTAAATTAGATTGATTGAAATCTTTTAAAGTAAAAAAGAATATTTTCAAATAATTATTCTTATGTCATATGTCTAGACATATATTAACTAACTTACAAAACATTTCAAATTACTTATTTAACATTTTAATAATAATATTATCAAATTATCGATTATCTTTATCTTCATCTTTATTTCTTTAAAGTTAACAAGACGAAATTTGAATTTCATCAAACTATTGTTTTATTAATCTATTGGAAATGTTGTTATTAAATGAGATGAGATGAGATGAGATGAGATGAGAGAGTATTGTTTTAAAAAGAAGAAATCTTTTAAATGAAAAACAAAACAAAGAAATTAAATTGATTTGGATTATTTGAAAGGTTTTTAAGTATTTGAAATAAAATAAAGAGAAGAAATCTATTCAACGCATATTTAAATCAATTAAACGAAATCTTTAAAGTTCAAATACAAATATTTAGTTATTTTACGACACATTTTACAAATTAAAATAAACTTTACTTTCTTTCTTATTTTCAAATATTAACAACTATTTTATTCGCATCTTTTAAAGTACAAATCATTTCAATATGACTTCATCATAAAATATTCGAATAAAATAAATTGTTTTCATATACAAAATAAGAAGAGAAAAAAAACGTTTTTCCAAAATTTGAGCAAATGAAATGTTGATTAATATGTGAGTGTGAGTGTGAATATGAAGAAGAATGTATAGATGTTAATGTTATGGTATGTAGGTGATGACATATTCAATGTGTTCACCAATATATATAATTACAATTACACAATAAAAAACGTCTACATAAATTTTGTTACATTGACTGAGACATTGAACGTAAATATACCTTTACTATTCTCCACTGGGGGTTTATTTCAAACACATATCAACACGTTTTCGTACTATAAAATATTCTATTTCTTTAATCTACTCACCATTTCTGTGTACGCAAAAAGTGAATACACTCTACAATCGATCAGTGGGTTCGACCGTCCGCCCGTATACAGGATAACTTTCGAAAGGAGGGTCAGATTTGGATGAAATTTTCTACACAATTCCGTCTTATCAAGATCTCGGTCGAGTTATTCCATATACACTTTGTGCATTACACACAACTCTAGGATAAAATTTCCGCATTTATTATTATTTTATTTAGAAATAAAACCTGTGAGACAAAATGATTTTTAAAAAATAATTCAATCTAAACTAATCTATTTCATTATTCAAAATAATTCGAAAATTCTTTTTTTTCTTCTTAAAATAATAAATAAGAAGAATAATCTCTGGTGAAAATCTTAGATTTTCTTTTCTAATTCTATAAAATAATAATTATCTTGTGGAATAGACTGAACAAATAAATGATTTGAATTTGGAAAGAAAAAAATTAAAATATTTAGTTTCAAGTAGATGGATTACTTCTATCTAAATATGTTAGGAAATTTGATAATATTATGTAAGAATATTTTATTTGTATTAATGAGGATGGGTGTGATGAGAGATATATAATCTAACACTAACATAAATATTATTATAATAAAAAGAAGAGAAACTCTTTTCGACATAGATAAATCAACAATTTAGCTTTTTAATTAGATTAATTTTCTAAAGAATATTTAAATAAAAAAATCTTACTTTTAATATTGATCTTGATAAAAGATATCGAATTAATGAAGAATAATTATGACGAAAACAATCTCTCACTCTCTCCTTGTCCTTCTATTGTTATTGATTGATTGAATAATAATAGTTGAATTGATTTGTTTATTTTAAATTCGAATTAATAAAAAGAAAAGAAATTATTTTGGAAATATTAAAGGAATTTATTCTAAAAAGAAATTTAAATGAAAAAAACGAAAATAAAATAAAATAGCGACATCTAATATTTGAAAAAAAGAAGAGAATGATAATATATTTGTATAGAGGATAATCGTTGAATTGAATTTCGAAATGTCTATTGAAGAAAAAAAATTTTGTGGTCGTTTCTACAATAAAAGTAAATTGTAATCGTTTGGTTTATCTAAAAAATGTCAAATAATTGTTGTCGACGATGTCTTCGAGGTATTTCACGTCGTATTCCTTGTTTTGTTGCATGGAGTTTATTAATTGTGTTATCAACAATTTATTTTATATTTATTTGTCCATGGATAACAAATCATTTATGGAAATATATTCCACTTATTCAAGGTCTTATTCTATTATTTGTTATTGAAAATTTTTTCTTAGCAACATTTACGGATCCTGGAAGATATAGTAGAGCTCCACCTGATGAAAATGATGATTCAGAAACAACATTTCATAAAACAGGTGAACTTTTCTTTCAATAAAAAAATAAATAAATAAATCCTTTGTTTTTTCTTTTAGTTGAAATTCATGGAACACAATGTCGAATGAAATGGTGTCAAACATGTGGCTTTTATCGTCCACCAAGATGTTCTCATTGTTCTGTATGTGACTTTTGTATTGATGTAAGATTTTCTCTATCTTTTTCTGTCTTTTTAATAAAATTCATTGATGATTTTTAGACATTTGATCATCATTGTCCTTGGTTAAATAATTGTGTTGGTAAGGAGAATTTCATTTTTCCACGTATTTCTTGTCAATTCATAATAAAAAAGTGATGAATTTATTTAGGTCGTCGAAATTATCGGTATTTTATATGTTTTTTATTAAGTGTATTATTTCATATGTATGTGGTGATATCATTTTGTATATATTATTTATTAAAAAATCATGAAAATCTTTCAAATTTAAATACAATTATATCAATAATATTAATTATATTTATTATATTATTAACAATTCCAATTGGTGGTTTAACTGCTTTTCATTTTATGTTAATTATTAGAGGAAGAACAACTAATGAACAAGTCACAGGAAAATTTAAATCAAATATTAATCCAGTTAAATCAATTCTTTCTCTCTCTTTTCTTTCTTTTAATCCAAAATTTCTTTTTTATTTAGTTTGATTATGGATGTTTATATAATTGCTCAAAAATATTTTCATCGTCAAATTCACCAAAGTAACGAAAATTTGATTTAAAAATCAAAATATCTTTTTCTCTTTTAATTTTAGATTAATTCATAATAAAAAACCTTCAACTAAAAAATCTTATGAAGTTCAAAAAGTTAAAAATAAAAATGGAACAAATAAAGTAATTAAATAAATCTTGTTTTTAAAAAGAAAAAAATCGTTTTTTTAGACCAAACATATTTCGATGACTTCAGTATAGAATGATAATTATTCCACGCGATGATTAAAATGATTTTATTTATTAAAATTAGGAGAATTTATTTTCAAACGAAACAAAAACCAAATATCAAGTCAAAAGATTTCTACAATCTCATTTATTTCGACAATCAATCAATTATTTAACAGAAAAACACATTTATTCTTTCTCATGTATTGCAACTAATGCTTTTCTTTTCTTTTCTACAAAATATTTCAAATAAAAAAAACAAAGATTCTTTCATTACATTTACAAAAAAAATAAACATTCGATTTTTTACCAATTCTAATAGTTTGATTTATAATTAGAAAACAAAAAACAATTTCATTTTCTCTTTTTCTTTTTCTTTTTCTTTTTCTTAGTTAATCTTCAATATTTTTAATTAGAATTTCTTCATGAACGTTAATCTAAACAATGATCTTGTCTAGATAGAAAATGTATTAAGTATTTCGATAATTAATTTACGGGTCCATTAATAGAGAAAGAAGAAATGTTGAGGGATCGAAGAAAATATAATTCCATATTTATCTTATTCAATCATCTAACAGATACAACGAACGAACGAACAATCATTAACACACTAATCAATGTCTGCAATGATAAGTATCAGATTCTTTTTATTTAATACATAAGCTTCTTTAGATATTATATTATTAATCATAGAAAACTATTCAGCTGAAAAGATTTTTCACGATTATAGATCCTATTCTTTACCCAATATTCAATGATTTTTTCTCGTTACGTCATACATTCAAAGAAAATACTTTCTCATTGTAAGAATACGGAGAGGATTTCTCTCAAATTTATTCTAAAGTTTTATTTTAAATCGATGCAACTCAATAAGATTCCGAAATAAATCAAAAGACATCTATCTGTGTATTTATAGAGAAAACTTATTGATTAAATAATATATTACTTGTTCAATTAATTCAAATTTTTATGTAAATCAATAAATTAAGTTTTCTATCGAATCTACCAACATAAATAGACTTCTCAATCTTTTAACGATGTCTTCTTTAATTTGCATTCGATTAGACTAATCTTCGTTTTTTCGAATCTCCTATTTTACGAGCTACAAAAATCTCTTCTTTTTCTTAATAGAAACAACTAGTACAATTTTCAACAAGAACTCATTTGTGGATTTTCTTTGTTTAGCTGAATATTTCAATTGTTAAATGAGTATTACTTTTCACTTGGATTTACTCTTGAGAATTTTTGAATCTAAATAAAGAAAATATATTTTATGATGAAAAGTTAATAAATCTATTAAGACGCATTAATCTAAGTTGTATTTTTGTGAAATATTTTTTTATTTTATTTATTTGATGAAAATGAAAAAGTTTTTTTAAATATATTAAAATATATTTATCACAATGATTATTAAGTAAATCTCAATTGATATTATAATGATTTGTTGTTCCAAATAAACAAATGAATATCTCTTAAAAGATAAAGAAGAAATTTATTATGATGATAATTAATATCAATAGAATTAATAATATTATTATTTCATTTAAAGAAATATTATTAGTAAGAGTATTTTACAAATTTCTATAAAGTACTTCAGGCGAACAAGGATCAATAAGAACATTATTAACTTTAATAATGAATATATTTTCAGGAAGAAATTTATCTATTATATAAAATGATTGATTAGAACGAATAAGTTAATATAATATATGAAAATTCTCGATTTATTTAGCTAAATAATAAAATCAATAAAAGCAACATGAAAATAAAATTCTTCGATGCAATATTTAACAGATGGATTTCTTTTATGTTGTTTATCTTTCTATTGAGAATTAAATTCTCATCTACATTTATTTCGATCTAGAAAACAAATAAATAAATTAGTTTTAAATTAACATGAAAATAATATTAAAATATTGAAAACGATAATATTCAATAAAAAATTTCTTTACTTTTATTATATATCTTCAATAATTTCAACTGATAACTATTATGATTAAAAACTTCATGCATAAATATTCTCATTCTTCATTTATCATATTGATCAACTATATGCTATTTTCATGGATAAAAAAATTTTTTTTTCAAGATAATCCTAGTCATGAACAACGCCATTGGATTCTATATAGATATATAAAAATTCTGAATATTTTATTTAATCGATTCAATAATAGACATAAGAAATATATTTTTATAAATAATTCTTTATTTAAATAATCAAGTTTAGGAACTACATGAGAAAATTTTCTATTATGAGTAGAATGAGCAACAAATAGTTGGTTTTGTTTATTTATTTTCTCTTATTTTAATTCGATGAGATTTTCAATTAAAATCAGTTCAATTATTAATTCATCTTTTTTCTATCTTTAATAAAACATACATCCGTATTTGTTTCGTAATGAAATACTATTAAATATAGATGATTAACATTAATTGATTGACTTGAACTATTTTTTATAAGATCTTCAAGATGAACATGTAAATGTTTCATTCGATTATGAATCCATTTTTATAGATTTCAATTGAGAAATAGTTGAAGCATAAATAATGTAAACATTAATCTCTTTATTTTTGTATAAATTTCTCCAAAATAAATAATCATTGGTTTGTTTTTCTTCTATTTATTATTTTCATATGAAATAAACATTCTACTATATGACTTCGGGTTATTCATAACAAATCCGATTAGGTTAAACAAATATTAATAAGACTAGAACAACTCGTATCAATAGAAATAATAACTAAACATTTTCAAATACTTTTCAAATAAAAATTAACTCGAAATATTTTCTAAAAAGTATTTTATTCGTTTAAAAATAAAATTCATTTTACAAGAACAAATCACTTTCATTAATTTTATTATATATGACTATAATCTAATATCACCAACAAGTTTTTTGTAGATCTTCTTCATTTTCAAACAAATCTATATTTATCATAATCGAATCATTATATTATTACAAAAACAAATCTAACAAAAATAATCAAATGTCAAGTATCAATAAGGCTATCTCTTTGCCCAAAATCTTCTTCAAAAACAACTGCATAGTTGAATTTGAAATACATTCAATAATGTGCGAAATTGCTTTCCTAATTGGAAACACATTAAAATAAAAGTTATTTCAAGTTGAATACTCAAAAAACCTATAAAAATCCAAGCGTTGAGTCGCTAACTTATTATAGAGGGGCGAATATGAATCGATGCAATTTTTCGTTTTTATTCCGAATATAGCTTAAAAAATAAAGAAAATTGCTCAAATAAAAAAAATATTGAGATGACTGACTGAATTCTTATGGTATTTCCTAGACTTTTTTGTCAGCAATGCAATAGTTAACAATTTTAAGATATTGAACAACAATTGAAGTTATATTGACGTTTAGAGAACTGTTGGCTACTGTGTAAAATAGAATTGATCCCCTTAGACTTTTAGAGCTCATTCTGTCTTAGAATGGATTGCAGGATCTTTTCTATAATTTGTTTATCTTAACTTGTATCTTTAACAAAATACAGGTCTATAGCAATTTATTAAAACACCCACGATTTCAAAATAGTTGCCTATCTTCTCTATCATCGTATTAGTCACAACATTGTTAAAGAAACATCATTGTTTTACTTGACCGTTTGCATATTCTATAATCCAGTACACTTTAGTAATTAATCGTGTTTTATTTGTTTTATGAGTTATGTACTATTGCTCATCCTTTTTCGTGAATAGAGACATCTTAGTATTATAATTATTTCCATTGGGAAAAAACGAACCCAATGCTGGTATTTTATAGCCATCGGATAATCCGAATTTCAGATCATCATTTTTCAGTCATTGTTGAGTTAGTGATTGTGTGTGCTTTTGTATTATAGATGTTCAAAATTTAAATGTTTTGATATAAAATACTGTATTAATGCAGAAGAAGCATTGTCAAAAATTCTACTGATTTGCGTTTCTATTTCTAATCCGAAGAGTGTACATATTGCTTGATGATTCAAGTCTAACCGAAGTACTATCAATATCAATATGTCGTTAAGTAATCTCGAGTTAAACCTGTCAAGACATGACAGGTTAGATCATGGTCGTTGAGTTTCAGTGGCGATCGATCAATCTTTTAGATAGTTTAACTTCTTCTCTTTACTTCGTATTTCTTATTTTAGGTCTTGAAACAATTCTATCAATTTGTTATGAGCGATTATTGACATATATAGTAGATGATGTAGTTGATAAAGCAGTAAAAATAGAAAAGATATTTGTATTGGCTATACCAATGTTTTTTTGTTGATAATTCGAATTGTGAATCAGTTTGAGTTGATACATCAACGCTTTGTGTATTCACTTTCATGCTTGTATCATTTTTAGTTTGCATATTATTGTTTGCTACTATACTCTTTTTCTTGGCATATACTTTCATGAAACATGAATTGTGCAATGAGAATTCTAATTTCAGCAGTTTATTTTCAACTATGTATTGTAACTGAGCTTTAGTTTGAAATGGATGAAACAATATAATAGTATAACTGACTATCTTATATTATCATGAATTAATTAGAACGGAGCTAAATCTCTTCGGGATCCCATTCTGACTGACTATCACATCACAGGTAACAACTATGATAGCCATTTTCAGCTTGTGTACTACAAGAGTCATCACGAGGATTTTAATAGTTAAATATATTCCAAAGAATAGTGTTGGTACCAGATACAGTTATATTAACTAAATTGAATCGAAATTACATTCCTTCGAAAAGAGAGCATTTATTTCAGGTCTTTAGACATCTTAACTTATGAGAAAACCTGATCTCATCTCATTATTTTCCATATTTTTGAGGCTATACTTAGAACGAATACGAAAAATTGCATCGATCTATATTTGCCCCTCTATAAGAAGTTAGCGATCTAAAACCTGACTCTTGTATAGATTTTTTGAGCATCGAACTTCAAGCAACTTTTATTTTTTAGTGTTTCGAATTGGGAAAA